GTTATATTTCCTAAATGGGGCTGTTTGTGCTCCAGGCTACATTTTGGTTCATAAATCACGTTTTTGAAATTGGCTGGGGTTTCTGGCAAACACTGGAGATTCCTGCAGTTACAGTCTATTAATGGTCCTAAGCTCTTTCCAGTGTGTTTACTGGAGGCTAGCATTTACCACATGACTTGATGGAAGACAGAAACTGCTTAAACACTCATCTGGTGACAGCAATGTGTTTAGGAATAGTGGTGGGCCTCAGCCCTGGCACACTGCTGTTAACATTGCCTAAACTGCCAGCACCACCATGAGCAAGATGATAGGTAGCCTATTGGTTGTAGTGACCACATAGAATCATGGAATGGCCTGGGTTGAAAAGGACCACAAGGATCATCTAATTTCAATCCCCCTGCTGTGTGCAGGGTCGCCAACCACCAGACCAGGCTGCCCAGAGCCACATCCAGCCTGGCCTTGAATGCCTCCAGGGATGGGGCATCCACAGCCTCCTTGGGCAACCTGTTCCAGTGCCTCACCACCCTCTGAGTGAAAAACTTCCTCCTAATATCTAACCTAAACCTCCCCTGTCTTAGTTTAAAACCATTCCCCCTTGTCTGATCACTATCCACCCTCATAAACAGCCATTCCCCCTCCTGTTTATACGCTTTCTTCAAGTACTGGAAGGCCACAATGAGGTCTCCTCAGAGCCTTCTCTTCTCCAAGCTCAACAAGCCCAGTTCCCTCAACGTTTCCTCATAGCAGAGGTGCTCCAGCCCTCTGATCATCTTACTGGTCCTCCTCTGGACCAACTCCAAGAGCTCCATGTCCTTCCTGTACTGGGGGCCTCAGGACTGAGTGCAGTACTCCAGATGGGGCCTCACAAGAGCCAAGTAGAGGGGGACAATCACCTCCCTTTCCCTGCTGGCCATCTCTTTTTTAGTGCAGCGCAGGACACAGTTGGCCTTCTGGGCTGCAAGTGCACACTGCTGGCTCATGTCCAGCTTCTCGTCCACCAGGACCTGCAAGTCCTTCTTCATAGGGGAGTCTTCTGAGGTGATAAATTTTACCTGAAGTTAAGTAGCTTCTTCACTTCTGTCTCTCATGTATGGACTATACCATCTATGGGCTACTTCACTTAGGAAAAAATATGGCAACACAAGCACCAAATGATACGTGAATGCTGTGGCCATGACAAGACACAAGGTGTCATTTGAGTTCATAATGGTTGCCTTCCTGTTCTCTGTTGGGGAGTATTGTGAGAGAACTGTCTGTGTTATCTCTTGATTCTTGGGACATTGGACTTCCTAAGCTTTCAGTATCCTTTGAAATCCTTTGTTCAGCTTTGTTCTTGGCCACCTGCTACTTACAACTTGGCAAAACAAATACCGCAAGACTACGTCTTTTCTTGTACTTATTACTTTGTTTTGATTCTGTTCTCATGTAATTTCCTCCAGACACCACAGTTTCCTTTGATTTGATTTGACTAATGCACTCTTCCTTGATGATTCCTCCAACTAGTGTCAGTTTACAGCTGTGTGATGATTAAATGGAAACTGCATTTTGTGGGCCTAGTTTCAAACAAGTTAAATTGCTCCCATGGAAGAGTAGGGGTTTGTCTGTTTGGTTTCTGGTTTTGTTGTTTTTCAGTGTGTGTATAAAAGCATTTGATGAATAAGAAGTTTGGTAGTACAGTTATCTGTCATCTTTTCTCTGTTGCTCCTCATATGGTGAATTAAAATCCAATGCTTGAGAATTGGCTTCTGAGTAATTGGCAGTAACTTTTCTAAAAGGGCATTGTAAGGAAAAAGTGCTTTAGCTTTAAAGACCTCTTGCTTGATCGGGTTTCGATCATCAACTACCACTGCACCACCTTAATGTTCATGAAAAGGAGCATGTGTATGTGCAGTTTGTGTGTGATGAGGAAGGCTTTGTGCATCTGAGTACTTTGCTTTTCTTTTTTTTCCTCACAAAATATTTAGTACCTGTTACATTGCATACCAGACTTGTGTGTTCTGTAATCCCTTTATCCAGGTGGAAATGTACAAACTTGGTGCAATTGCAAGCTCTCAGTGCAAACTACACAGAGTAATTTAAAAAAACAACTTCCACAGAAATAAGTAAGTACTTATTAAGTAAGTAAGATCTTGCTCCAGAAGTCACAAAACATTATCTCCTATTGTGTATTCTAGCTCGTGAATACTCAAAACAGGTCAGGGAGCCTCTGTGTGATCACTGTATTAAAAAGGAGAGAGAATTTTCAAGTTCATGAAATGGTGTATGTAATATAATGATCAGATTGTTTTGTGCACAGAGAGAAGGCTGATATGCCAATAGCTTATAAATGGCTTTACCCACATGCTTAGGGCCTAGAAATGCTTCCTACTCAAGTTTAGCTGAAGTCAGGGCCTCAAAACAAAATGTTCTACCTACCATGAAAATCTGAAGGAAGATATTATTTCAGTAGATAACATGACTTTTTACATACAGCATTATAGGACACTTAATTTTTGACTATTCTAGAAACAGGTTTGGGTAAAAGTAAAAGCTAAATTTATTTCCATAAATCTAAATAGGGCTTAATAGATGTAAAGGAGAATTATTTCAGCCTTTATTTTAGGCCAAGCTTAGACAAAATCAGAAAGATGGGCTGTGTGTGTAGGTAAAGGGGCAGCTGTTACTTTGGGAGGTGCTGGGGAGAAGAGGGGTTCCCTCTTCTGCTCTTCTCAGGGCTCTTCTAGCAGTTTGTTCTGTTTTACTTTTCTGGAAGTCCAACAGGAAAGTTTCCTTTCTTGATGGAGTGGAAAAATTTGCAAGCGTGATTTGTAATGGAAATGTTTTTGCAATTTCTGCAATCTGAGGGAACATAAATGGCAGTGCTTGAACCATAATCTTTGCTTTGAATTTACTTTCATATTATAAACTTCTGCAGTAACTATTCTGGAGTAACACAAAGGTGTTTAAGACATACTGAGGACAGGATAGTTGCACATGAATTTGGATCATTTATTAATCTGCAGATGTGAAAATTCTCTTTATGTTGCCATGTGTGAAGCTGTATTCTCTGAGTAACAACGAAATGTTGAACTTGGCATTTGGATTTGGGAGAGAGAGGCAGCAAGACACCTAGAAAGCAGCAGCTCTGAATGGTAGTGCAGGTGTGCTGGGGTACAGGTGTCGAGGCACAGCTAGGAGGCTGTGGGACTGCTGTGTGAGGCAAGGCCTGAGCTGACCTGTGCCAAATGCATGGCTGGGCAGAGCAGCCACCCTGGGATGCCTCAAGGACAGTTTGGGAAAGAGAGGGCACACAGAATTCAGCAGGGAGGGTTGAAGGGAGCAGGAACAGCCCTGCAGGCACCCAGCAGAGAGAAGGAGGAGCTGCAGGTGCCCAAGCATAGTTGTCCCTGCAGCCCTAGAGCCCATGGTAGGATCGGGTGGATGTTCCCTGAAGTGAGCTGCAGGGAAAGCACTGCACTGGAGCTGAGCAAAAGTGTGCAGAGAGGAGCTGTTATGACTGACTGCACTCCTCATTCTCTATTCTCTCAGTCAATAAATTGTATTAGTTTTCTTCAGTTGACTCTGTTTTCCCTATGATGGTAGTTGACGAGTGATCCCCCTCTATTTCTGCCTAAAGTCATTTTCATCTTACTTTCCTTCCTTGTCCCAGTGAGGAGTTGTGGTGAGAATGGCTGGATGGATGACAGGCAGCAAGCTAAGGTCAACCCACCTCAACAGGATACTAGAAATGAACAACTGAACCTCTGCTGTAGTGGTGCAGACTCAAATAGTTATTGTAACTGCTCTATGACTCACAGCCGTGATGGTTAAGGATACTCATATGTCAGAATCTGTATTTTTAAAGGAAATTGGGGACATACTAGAGAATTATGGAGAAAGGCCCACGGGAGCATCTTAGATGGAGGATGGAATATGTAGTGCCAGGCTAGAACAGCAGGGAATGATTTTGGAAAGAAAAGCAAGAGATGACTTCTGTATGGTATCTTTGTATAAAGAAAATGGTATCCTAACTTGGAGCCGTGAGTACTCATATCCGAAAACCAGATAGACTCAGTGAAATGATAAATGATGAACACACTTTGACAGAAGTAATGAAGAACCAAAAGAAGATAATGAGAAGCAAGAGATTTTTGATCTGTTTGTGTTTTCAGAACAATACTGGGTAACCCAGATATGCCTAATGAGGGATGAGAAATTAATTTTTGGACAAAGAAGGTCTGTGTGTGCAAGAGGCAAATAGCAGGTCAAACTGGACTAGTTTCTATCAGTCAAAAATAAGATTACACTCCTATTTTGAACTAGCTATGTTTCTAAATATTGGTGATAGGGAGTTGTACTCACTTCTTTATACCCTCTGTAGCAGTTGTTCAGTGCCTGATGGGGACATAGGAAATTGAGTGTGAGATGAGTGTCCATACTGTCCTGAAAATTTTTTTTATCCCTCTGGAACTTGAGATGCTTTTGAAATAATATTGACATAAACCTGTGTAAAGAAATGCATTTAGTTGTTCCTGCAAGGCAATCTGAGGGAATGCAGACTGGAGTACTTTCTTGACTTTCTTGCCAGTTACTGCACATATGTTAGCCTGGATAAGCAGCTTGTGGTATTCAGGAAAGAAGCCTGCCATATAACAGAAATACAATGAAATATACACCCGGGTTAATACAAGTTACTTGAATTAAAAGCAGACTGAGATGTTGCTCCAGTAGAAAACAACACCTACTATTTATATTGAACTTCTCATGTGTAAATATTACCATGGCGTTGTTAAAGAGAAACATTACATTTTATTTTTTTTTACACATACCAGGTCATAGAAAAACATGAATTGTTCAAGGTTACCCACATGGCCAGCCATACTCTAAATCTTAGTCAAGTTCTTAGCAGACAATATTCAACCTGTACTGTGTAAGGAAGTCTCAAAAACTGCTGAAACACTAAAGAAAATTATGAGTTTTTATCACTGAACTGCTTTCTTTTTTTTTCTGTCCTCTTACAGATCATAAGGTGACTGGAATTGCTATTGAGACAGATAATAAAAATGTAAAAGCAGAGGAGTTTAAAGGTATAGTATATGCATTGCTGTGATTTAAAAGTACATGTAATAAATATATGCAAGCTATGCAGACAGAATCTGTGCAGTTAAGATTGTCTTCCTTTTTCCTTGGGCAGTGAGGAGGGTGGTGGTCTTGATCCTACTCTCTTTGTTGAGTGCTCTTGTAATCTTTGTTTTGTCTCCATTTTCAGTTGCTTACAGAGTTGGACTAAATGCTCTCCAGAGGTCCTTTTCAACCCCACCTATTCTGTGATTCTTGTGACTCGTTTTTCAGTCCTGATAGCTCACCGTAACACTGGCTTTGTTTCCTTCCACATAAAGCACTGTGAACTGATGGAGAAGAAAAGCATTAATCTTAAACAGAGATGTGAGGAGTTAGTGAATTTACCATTATTTTCTTCCTGTTGTCAGTAGCTATAAGTTAGTGACTATTTAAAAAATGACAGTAACTTTAATGACTACTTAAATGTATACTTATTATCATGACTTTTATCATGGGTGGGTAATGATTCCCAGTAATCAGCTACAGAAGTGAAGGAGGCAGTAAAGAAAATCTGATGTTAGCTGAATAGATGAGAAAGAGATCGTAGTAGTGTCTAAGTATGTGAGGTATGTGGCTTGTGTGGGTTTTTGTTGTTATTTCATTGTACTTGGTTGGAAATCGGAGAGATGGGTATTTCAGAATTGAAAGAGTTTTTTTGCCGAGGCTTCATTCATCTATGAGATAATGATGAAGTATTTGAATGGTCTCTGAAGCTATCAGCTTCCTACCCATACACGTGGCTTGTACTTTGTTATTTTGGTACTTGTATGAGAGTGAGATCAGTTTAATGTAGAAATGAGCATAACTTTTAGTTTTTTGCGCTAAGGGAATGTAGGAGCAGATAGACTTTGCTGTTAATCCAAATGCAGCTGATCTGAAATGTGTTGGTTTTTTTTTTCACTTCCAATTTCAATTACTGTAGAGGAGGGCTAATCAAATAATTGCCCTGGACCAGACATAAATCCAAAGCCAATGTTGTTCAGATCTCTCCAAGATCCCTGAGTGTACTTATCAGACTCATAGAGCCTCTGCTGATGTGCAGTTTCTTGTAGGTCTATCTTAATGAAAACCAAGTAGATTGTTTCTGGAAAATTCCTGTCACTGACTCTACTAGTATGGGGAAAAGCAGAAGAGAACTATAAGTAAGGAAGGCTTTTGTTACCTTTTCTCTGTTCTTTGTGCATTCCACTGCTCCCTTTCTGTACCTTTTCTTTGGATAAGATTAGTGGGAGGGCATCAATACAAGGCTTTTCTGAAGAGGAAAAAAGACCATGGCACATGAGACTGGCAGCTCTTTCAAGGCAGAGGTGACTTGCTAAGCTGAGAACACTTCAGCTGATGCAGGCAGCTCAGCCAATAAAGACCAACTCATGGGACCAGCCAGCTGTCACAAGGTCAGTAGCAAAAGCAAACTGAGCTTGAATGATGGCTTTTCTTTGTTAGAAGGATACAAAAACAGAATGGAAAGGAAACTTCAGCAAATCTTAAGATTCAGGAAGCCTCCACCCAGCTACTCAACCTGAAGTCAGGAACCTCAGGCTTCCTGAGTGCACGACATGTTTTTGGAAGCAGCCAGTGCGTGCGTAACATGTTTCTGGCAAATAATGCCCTCTTGTCTCATTTTTTTCTTTCAAGTCTGGACATTATTTCCCCATGAGAGATCCCTGGTGCTACCAGCCTGGCCCCTTTGAAGTTTTTTGTTTCTTCACAGAGCAGACTGGGAGGTGAAACTCTAAGCACGGGTGTCCAATCATCTGGCTTGCGTGGGCTGCACTGAGTGAAGAGGAATGGTCTTGGGCCACATATAAATTATATAATACAATTATGTATGTAACTAACCAAACTTACTTTTAAAAAATATTGTTTTATTCAAATATAGAGGGCAATGAACACGTAAATCTAGTGGGTTGGAAATGTATGCAAGTCTAAAGGGTGAATGGAGAGATTTGTTGGTACCTCTTGATCACCCTGCAGGTTTTTTTGCTGAGATTGAAAAGGAAGATGATTAATGCAGGCTGATTGTACATTTTGTCAGTTGATGTTTGCCTCCTGTAAACCAGACAGGTATTGCCAAAACTTCAAGGGCTTTTGATACATGATGCTCTGGCCTATACCGAAAGACGAGAAGTCAAGATCAATACTGTATTTTTTTCTTTCACAGAAGATCCTGAGAGATACTAAATTTCACTTGTTAATAGATTCAGAGACAGTCATGTGTGGTTGGAGACAGAGGAAAGAATCCAGGCAATTGTTATTAAAATTCAAGAGTTATTCACTAGAGGGAAAAAAATAAATACATTTTCCAGCATGCTTTTCCACAGACATGAAACTACTGAAATGTTGAGTTTATCTAGATAACTCTACAGACTTGTCATGCCTTCTCTCCCTGTTCAGTTCCCCCATCATGTCTCTAGGGTTGACCAGAGACCACAATTACTATGATGCAGGCTGCATATTAGAGATGGCATATGCTCATGCCGTGCTGCAAGGGAATAAAAAATAACAGTTGACCTGTTCCTCGTAAGAGATACTAATTTTGTTCTGTTTCCTACCCAGTTATGGCAACTATAGTAAAAAGCAGTAATTCTTGAAATCTCAGCCTCTGTGTAATATTTGGGGGTGCCTGTTGTACATAACCAAGGGAAACTTGAGTGGACGGGCAGAAAGGCAAACAGTTTTTTGAACCTTCTTTACTTGAGTAAAGTAAAAGTAGGAGACTCCATCTGCCTGGCTGCTGGAGCCCAGCTTGGTATATCTGAAGTCTTAGGGGTCTTTGTCCCAATCTGAGGGATACACATGCTGCTTTCCCATTTGCAGTTTCACCACACAGCAAGGCTCTGTGTGCAACTCAGAGGTGCACGCACAAACCACTAACGATGAAGTGCGACCTTCAGCTGCACCCACGTGCGATGCTGTTGAGGTGAAGTGCAGACAACTAAGCCTCTTTCCTCCTCTTTGGAGAAAGGAGTTCACTGGTGAAAGTGCTCATACAACGCTCTAGGTTCCAGAAGAACGCATACGCATTCATGGATCTCCTGAGAACTGTCACAGCCCTTGTTCTACCTGCCTCTCTTGCCCCAACCCTGAGCTTCCTACTAGCCAGTTAACTTGTTTTAGATTGTTGCTACCCCATATTACTATTATCTTTGCACTGAGAAAGTCGTCTGGATAATCTTAATGAAGCACATGCTCATCTTCCACACACCCTTAAAATAACCGACGTGAAATTGTATTTAAATATTTAAGTTACTTAGAATATTTAACCATCTTATTAGTGTGTTTTTCATTTTCACTGTTACAGGTAAACTACTGATAATGAATTCAGAGTCAATACACATAAGAACTGGAAGAGAGTCCTTTTAATGGTGTTTGTTCATTGGCAGAAATATTGAAACATAAAACGGGGATAGTAGTATGGAATCTCTGCCCATCTAACATCTGGAGCTTGATCCCACTTGAAGGCCACTGCATTAATGGGAAATTACTATTTTCTGTTTCTTCTTGTGTAAATCTGGAGAAGGTCTGATGATGTTATTTTGAATAGATCCGGCCATTGCTGTCTGCTCAAGCTCTTTTAGAAGAGATTAATGTCACGGAACCTGAATGTGTACTGCACACAGTGATAAAGGTTCTAACTTTCTCTTATGCTCTTTGTTCTTTTGTGCTTGTTTTTGTTTGTTTGTTTTTCCCTCTCTAGAGGCTATTCTTAGTTGCAAGCACAAATTTTCAAAAGGGATGAGTCTAAGGATAGAATGGAAGAAAATCCAGTCCCAAGAAGTTTCATTTGTTTACTACAACGGTGAATTTACAGGTACGGTACTACAAGCTTGGACTAAGGGCTTAACACATCATTCTCTTGCACAGATATCAGCTCTCCTTGGGAATAACATTAGGAAAATGATTGAAAGAGGATGCTCTTGACTTTTGTCCTTTTGAGAAAAATAATGTTTCCTCAGGGGAAAAAAAGAAGAACAGCTTTTCTTCAGAAAATTCTCAACATTTAGTTATGTTTTTAAGAAAGTTAAATATAAGAAAATTGGAGACAGAGAAAATCGACAGTGCATGTTCCTTGAGGCTTTTTATAAATGAAATTACATTCAAACATAAGCTCACAAAAAAAAAAAAAAAAAAAAAAAAAAAACAACTGTTGAAAGCTCTGCACTCCTATCTAACAAAGAGGTTTCAGAAGCCTGCTGTAGAGCTAGGGGCTTAGGTATGAATAATGCAACAATGTTTATATACATAAAATATAAACTCAGCAGTACATTTTAAATTATTTGTACACTTTTTCAAAAGTAGAATTTCAGTTTATACTTTGTTTAGAAGATTTACCTCAGCTGTGTCTGTTGAAGAAAGCGTGGTTCTTTGGTACCTTGTACGTGACAAGTAAAGCTTGAGAAGTAAAATTAGGCCACAGCAATTTTGTTGAACTTGCAAGATGTGCTGGTCTTGTTGATGAACTTTTTTTCCTTGCATATGTTTCAGTTACAAAGACACTAGAACTCCTTGTTCTGTTTGTGCAAGTTTAATTTCATAACAAGCTGTTGAATGAAGAAAAGCTCATTGTAAGAAAACTGGCAATATCTTTGCTAAATCCATCATTTTTTTCTCGCAAAGTTAAAAAGTCAAATAGTTTGCTGTAGTCTCGCTCAGAATCCTTTTTATAAGAGAATTAAATCAGTGATTGCCATCACTCCAGTCACTCCATCTTTTCTTTTTTTCAGTCACATGACTAGTGATATACATACTTTCTTGAAATGTCCACAGAAAGGAAAAAGTATTCTATCTTCCAACTGGAAATTGTTTGACACTTCAGAGTGACTTTTCTTCTGGACTAAATGGGGAATTTTGTGGAAGGTTCTTACTGTCTTGGGAGGGGGATTACATATTGCCTCTTGGTGATAGATATCTAGCACTGCATAAATGAGCAATAGTTCATAATCTGTTTGGGATTTCAGAGCTAGTCAGTAAGAAACAGATATTTTCTGTAAGTGATAAACAGAAACTGCGTTGTCTGTTCTCCCTAAAAGGTGATCTTAGAGACCGAGCAGAGATGTTGAATACAGGAATCCGTATAAGAAATGTGACCAGAAAGGATTCTGGGACCTACCGCTGCGAAATCAGTGCGAAGAGTGAAGAGGGGCAACGCCTGGGAGAGGCTTCTATTACTCTCACAGTGTTGGGTACAAAGAAACTTTATCACTTAGATTTCTGTAAATGAATTCAACGATGGCAAAGGGTGTTACAAGCATGACTGTCCACGTAGAATGTAGCTGTTGGATTTTTGGATCTTTCTTGCGTTGGGTAATAAATATATGTTCTTGCTTACATTCCCATTCTACAGTATTCAAAGAAATGCATGCTTGTATTAGAAAGCAACAGAACTTATTTCTTTAATGGTACGAATATGTGTTTTCATTGTCAAAAATTATCAACTATGATGATGAATGAGATGATGAAATATCCGTTTCTGCTAAAACTGAAGTTACTCAGTGGCTGAGAATCTGATCTTCTTTGACACTGGAAAGTCAGCATCTGTCAACACTTATCAAATATTCCAAAGCAGCAGTTCATTCTAATGTGCTACAGTCTCCTCCTGCTTTTGGAAGGAGAAATTGCTGCAGTGCCTGCATAGTGCCAGCTAGCAATCTGTAGACTTTATTTATAGGAGAGATGTTGGTTTTTATTATTCTTTACGGTGTTTTTTTGTTTGTTTGTTTGTTTTTTCCCTGCTTGGGGAAAGGATGGAAAAATGAATATCGAGCCCTTTTTTTTTTTTCTACTGTTCCTCCTACTTTTTCCCAATCAACAAATAGATTAGATAGTTAGATAGGTAGATAGTTAACATTTCTTTCCTCATGAGTAGGAAAGAAGTTCCTGTGTTTTTTCAATACAAAATCAACTGATCTTTTGAAATTAAAAATAAAGTCTCAGAGTTCTTCATAAAAATGATAAATTCATGAGCTTCTGCATAATTCCAACAATGAGGTAATATCACCTTTTCCTTCTTTTTTTCCACTCTCTCAACACATAGGAGTGTAGCTTCTTCATTTAAATTTGAAACCTTGGAATTGAAAGAGTGGTGGGTGACTGTGTGACTCATGCAGAAACGTTTTGGAAGTTTATGGAAGTTCAGTGTGGGTTTTATGTTTTGTTTTCAGAATGTTTTCTTTCTATTTTAAAGTCAGACAAGGAAAAATTATGAATAGTTGTTAAGGTGTCAGTCATGCTTTTAATACGCCTTGTATTCCTCTTCACCATTAGTTTTCATCTGGATAGTTTCAAGGAACCAAAATAATAATAGTAGTAGTAATAATAATAATAATAATAATTTCCTTTTCTGTTGACGTAATAAAAGTTGGAAAAAGATATTTAATATTAATGGCAGAGGGACCTGCATTGTCCTGTATCTGTGATGCAGAATGTGATGCAAAACCCGACAACATTTTCTCTAAATACTGCAACAATATCTGAGGAAAGTTGGAACTGTTTCCTCACTGATTCTCCCTGCTCAGAGAAAAATACTAAACAAGTACTTGATTAGGGGGGAATATTTTTTTTCTTGTTTTTTTTTTTTTTTTTTTTTGTTGTTGTTGTTCAGCTTTGTTTTTTTAATTTAAACTGAACTTAATAGTCAATTGCCCTTCATTTTCTACCTGAGATTCATGCATTGGCTGTGATGATTGCTAGTCTTCGTCATTCTTTCTGACAGTTGTGTTTCAAAAAACAGTAGAAGCAAAACAGGAATCTTCTTATGGTTTCTCACTTTTGTTTTTAAATACTATTGAGGGAAAAAAAAAATTCCTGGACTCCAGATTCCCTGAGACATCCCTTCTGCGTCTGGGAGCAAGAGCCCCACTGAATAAATGGGGTGGAAAAAGATATCTAGAGTTTGGATGAATGTGTATAGATTGAAGACACGATAAAACAGCATGTGGTGAGGGAGCCTAGGTGCAAACGTTTGCCTTCACTGTTTTTGTCAGCTTACATACCTCACAGTGCTCTTCAGTAGCAGAACTGAAGCCATCCACCCTGTCTCCAGAGCCCCCGTTTGTTAATGCGGTAGCTGTTGAGCATGTACACAAGTGTTCACCTCCTCAGTGACTGTCAAAAAGTTGTGAGATAGACAATACTGATAAGACTGTGTAACAAGCACAGAATTGTTTTCCAGTTCCTCCCACTACTCCAATATGCGTGGTACCCAACTCTGCAATGACGGGAACAGTAGTGGAGCTGAGCTGTAAGGAAGCTGAGGGATCTCCTCCATCTGAGTACCAGTGGTACAAGAATGGCGTTGCCTTACTGGAAAAGACAGGAACGGGCAGTGCTAGAACAACCAACATAACTTACACCATGAATAAAAAGTCTGGCACTCTGGTAAGTGTAGTAACCAACTGTATTAAGCAGCTGTAGAGAAAACCAAATTTCTGTACAGCACAGAAATGCGCAGTGGCTTTAATCCAAGGCACAAGGTCTTTCTCAGAAATCAATGTCATGCTGAAATTTGATAACAAATTTATAGGGTATGGTTTCTGTCTCAGACCATAGAGGTCGAGTGTGGTAGGCAAAGTGGGTGACTTATAAGGCTGTAGTAATTATGAATGAGCAGAATCTAGCAAATAAATGACAAATTTCACCTTGTCGGTTAGCCAGCCAGCTCCAGGTGAGAATGATCTCTCAGTATGTTGACTGAGTTATATTTGATAGTGCCTTAAAATCTAAAACAGCAGCTTCACACACTTCAGTGGGAACTGCAGCACCAAGGGCAGTCCAGAACCTCTGCAGCCCAGAAGCATTTAAAGGTCCCAGTCCTGTCCTTGTATTGTCAGTGGGAGTGTGTAGTGGCTTTAAGTCAACTTAGTGTGTTTTCTGGTATGTTCCCTGTGAGAACTGCCTATCTTTTTCTCAGCCCTGTTTCCCCCTTCTAAAAAAAAAAATAAATAAAAAAAAATCACATACTACTAAGCTGAGATCTTTACTTATTTATTTTTAGAAAAGTCATTTTAGGGACACTCCACTCTTGGAAATGATCATGTTTGGAAACCAGAATGTGCCATATCCTTTGTGCATTTTCATTCACAGGTGCTGTAGGTAATTCAGCACACTGTGAGCTACTCAGAAACATTAATCTCTTCTTTAAAGTTACAGTTTTAATGTATGGGATGTATTAAAGGGAGAACATTTAACAAATCGATTTATAAAAACAATTACAGAGGAACGTAGAAACATACAGGGTCAGCATCCATTTTCTGCTTTCTCACTGTAATTATTATGTTAGAAGTATTTCATAAATAATGCAGTTCAGCATTTCTCCATTAGAATAATAGAGAAAGTGACATCTCTGGAAAAAAAATCCTTGGATGTACCTTTTGTACTATGTTTTGTACACTCCATCTAGTAAAAATGCCCATCTAAAAGGCCCTCATGTTTAAGTAGCTGAAGTTAAGATCTAGGGATATGAGTGGAGAGCAGGACTGAGATGAACATGAGAGCAGAAGTTCTCACCTTCTTTCAGATTTTTTGGGGAAAAGTTTTATATTGACACATCAACATTTCTATGGGTTTTGGTTTTTTTTGTTTTGCTTTGTTTTCCCATTCTGATAATGTTTTGGACTCTGTCTTCACAGATATTTAACACTGTTTCAAAGAACGACACTGGAGAGTATTTCTGCGTAGCCTCAAATGGGATTGGATTACCTCAGAAATGCTCCATGAAGAGAATGCAAGTTGGTGTGTATCAGACTAAAAGAGGGCAGAAACCAGTCTTGCATCTGAGCTGATTTAATTGTGTGATAGTCGAGAAACTAATATTGAATTATAGCCTTTTATTTGATTATGGTATTATGGGGAAGAACAGTATTCACATACTAGGCACCTTATATGTAGTGAGGGTGACTGCTTAAAGCATTACTTATTGTTTTGTTTGTGTGTGTGTGTGTGTCTCACTGTACTTTACAGAAAAGCAGTTAGCTGGGTATTATTGCAGTATCCAGCCCTTAATGTTGCTCAGCAGTGAACATCACAGAACCAGTGTCCCTCTGAGAACCTTACTGCTTCAGAATTCTTTTATGGATGTTGTACAGCATAATGTAGCAGTCCACTGTTTTATGGGGTTTTTTGTTTGTTAACTAACAGCCCCCCAAGATTTTGAGATGCATTTGTGTGAGATCATAGTGTAGCAGATCAGAATTTAAACTGAAAATAATTTGATACTTGCCAGAGCAACACTGAAAAGAGTCGGTGTATCTTCAAAGAAACAAAAACAAAACCCACCAATAACCCTGCATAGAAGCTGTACTATTTCATGTTAAAGTGTTCCATAAGGCAGTTATTTGGTTCTCTCTTAGAATTTAGTTGAAAATCACTATATCAAAGCTTTTAATGCATAGAATACTTGATCATAATCAGCTAGGAATGAATTACCAAGTTCCTACCAACTACCAAATACCCGATGTGGAAATACCCATCCAAGTGAATTGTGGCAAAAACCTTTGGGTGAGATTTACATCTGTGTATTCCTGTCTTGAAGTCAAGATCCAAATAAGTAATTGGTTTCCTACATAATGGTAATATAACAAAGATTAAACAACAAAAAGATCAATCAAAATGTTTCTGCTTATTGATGGCTTTGTCTTTTTTTCCCAGAGTGGATTATTACCCCAACAGATTTAATCATGAGATAGGGATTTTTATGAAGAAATAGGCATAGGTTGTCATCTTCAAAATAAAAATGGCTCAACTTCAGTAGCCGTGTAATATTTACATATATTTGCATTTAGTGCATTGAATTTTAAAAGCCTTGCTGTCGAAAAATAATTTTTAAAAAATCCAATTTTAAATAACCTGCCAAAAGAGCTCTTCATGACAGATGTGACTGTCATCAGCTGCTTTGGGTATTTGAAGCAAACTAACAGTTGTTTAAATAGACCAAGGGAACGTATATTGAAATCCTGAAGAGACAGAAATCTTTAAGAGCCTCAATAATACTTATGCTGAATAGGCAGAACAAGGAGTTTGTGTCCTTCGACCACTCCCTTTCCTTACTTCTTGACTCAGAGGAAAGATTTGAAGTGTATCAAGCACTCCTGTTAACATGGCTGTGATACAGTAATCCTTTTGAACACCTTATCCACATCTGGGTGCCAGGAACTAATCTATAAAGCTTAGGTCAAAGTCCATTCATAAATACAAAAGGTACCTGTAGTAATTAGGGGAAAAAAAATCCATCTAATGGATATTTTTAAAACTTAAAACATTGTGTTGTTCTTTTATAATTACAGATGACCTTAACGTAAGCGGTATCATCGCTGCTGTAGTAATCGTGGCTCTGATTATGGCACTGTGTGGCCTTGGAGTACTTTATGCTCAAAAGAAAGGGTATTTTACAAGTAAGTACAGCAAAATCACTCTTTCTTTGGTTAAAAAAAAAACAAAAACAACAAAACAACAGAGCTATATTTCTGCTGATTGTAACATGTACTTCTCACACTTAACTTCCATGGTACTATAGCTGAAGAGTATTACCGCAGCAACTTCACTGCATTTTTATTCAGCCTCCTACTGCAGAGGCAAGACTGAGATGGAGGCATTCGTACAGCTGCATAAGGCTAGCAGGCAGCAATCTAGGAAAAAGCAACAAGCAAAATCCTGGCTTCTACAGCTTCTGCTGTAGTTTCGAGAAGGAATGGGAAAGAAATATACTGCAAAAACAAGCCATACAAGGTTACGTGTAATCCATAAAGGGTATTTGGAGCAGCTGAGTTCTGATGAAGGGGAACTAACTTACTTGCTCCCTCTTCTGGTTTGTGGTGAAAGCGCATGTAGTGAAACTGGAGGATTACCTGGAAAAAGCTTAAGCCCAAGGAATCTACCTCTCCATAGCATTTATATCAGTACCGGTAGAGTTCAGCACAGCAATAAGGGATCACAAAATGTCAGTGTGAGAAAGATTGCTGCCCGAAAGTAACAGACCTGATATTAGCATCCCTGTCCATGTACAACTTAAATTACCTTTGAAAGCCATCTATTCTTTCTCTGTTCAAACTCACACTACACTAAAATTTCATTTAGCAACTGAAGCTATCAGTAAATATTTCAAAGACTTCTGAGGAAACTACTCCTGTGCTCATTTTTCTTTTTTTTTTTTTTTTTTTTTTTCTTTCCCCAGAGGAGAGCTCTTCCCAGTAAGTACTTTTATATTTTATCCATGTCACTGTAAACTTCATTTACATCCTGATGATTTAGTAACTGTGATGTTTGTTTAAGGACTTTCTTTCATACAATGACATCCTGAACACTGAACCTTTTGCTTTTAAAAGATTATTGGAGCACTTTTAGGTAACAGCATGTAGAAGAGCAATGTACTGAAGAAAAATTCCACTTTTAACATACTGTTAAAAGTATAAGTACTGCTTATACTGGTTGCTAATTAGACAAAGTGTACCTGGAAGGCCTGAAGGGACAAGCTAGGGAAAGCAATTTGGCTGTGGCTCCTGAGATCATGACAGCTATCTAAAAACATCAAGTGTATTTGTTACAGATTTTATACATCTTACTAAGGTGGAAAAAAACTAAGGATTGCTGGAAATCAGAACAAAAACATTTGTAAAGTTTTCAAAAGGCTAAAACCTTTTTAACCTAATATGCTTTTCTGTTCTATTAACAGGAAGTCCAACTCTCAATCTACAAGTGAAAAGGTATTTCACATTTAGTAGCATGTGTACATTTTCAGCATGTATTTTGTTATCTAGTATGTAGATAAGAGGCCAGCTACTTGGCTGCTTTGAATGGGAAGGAGCAATATTAAAGCCCTTGTGCATCAGATGCTCAATAGATACTACTACTTTTACCTTTTAATAGAATATTACTTATATTTTGTGTAACAGTATAAATTAACTTACAATGTATCAGTCATGCTCCTTTTTGGTTTGCAGCCTGAGTTTCTTCTGAAATATAAATTAATGTAGTTAAAGTACTTGAACTATTACTTAAGTGACCTTGCTTGTTTCATTTAGGATTTCAAGCACACCAAATCCTTTGTTATCTAGAAGATTTCAGCCTCTGTGAGGGACATCAAACAACTACTTGTTATACAAAAATATCAAAGGGATTTTTTGACCTCTACTCTGTAAATATTGTTTCCATGTACTATGCACTGAAAATAGAAATTGCTACTGTTTAGATCTAGTCAACTTATTTGTGTATGATTGTTTTTCTTTAACCAACGACAAACCTGCTTAACTTAAAGATGCAATGGCATACACAAGTCAATTTGTGTGGCTTCTCATTTTGTTGATGTATACGTGCAGCAATACAGGATTCACTCTTGCAGCTTGGAACAGTCTGTCCAAGTAACTTTCGTAGATGACGATTGTCAAGGGCTCAAACTCTCCTATAACGTTGACTTCATTCTTACTTATCTGTCCACATTATATTAGGTTTGACAGAGCCATCTAGAAGTACAGAAATAGTTGCCCAGACTTTAACTCACTATCCAGCCAGGACAAAGCTGCTTGTAATTGAGGCCCAAGCATTGTTTTATTGTCTAATATAAAATGCCTACAGCATCTCTTTTACAAGGAAGTACCTCTTTCTGTAAATCGCATACATTACTTGCCAGTACAACTATAGTTGTAATAGCTGGACCCTAAATGTTACAGTATTACAAATAAATAGTTCCTCAGAGCCTGAAGTGTTTGTGTCAGTAGTTTCGTTACTGAAGCTTATGCCCTACAACATCAGTAACAAGTTTCAGTTGTTCCTGTAAGAGCATCACTTATGCGTTCATTGATGTAAAACGAAGTATTTGTGCCTATGCAGATCTATCACCTCCCTTGGGCTTTGCTACAAATTTAGAATTGCTTTCTGAATAATTCCTGCAGAAACTTGAAACATTACAAACTGGGGAAAATAAAGTTTCTTCTGTGTTTATCACTCAGTTTTATAACTTCTCAGCACTGAAACGTAGTTTACTAAAGGGGTTAGCAGTTGGGAGATATGCTATTCAGGTACCTCAGTAACTGTAAGAGCACACAATCAGCTAACTAGAATCCCCATGCATTTGAGAACTTGTTCACGCTTCAGAAATCAAACTGAAACACTGTATTTATTAAGTTACAACTGATGCCATATTCAGCAACTCCATGGATGTTGTTTGGAGGACGATGTGAAGAAATCACTTTGGTGTCTCCTCAAAGTTGGGCTCTAAAGGAGGAATAAAGAAGCCGGGAGAGAAGAGACATGTTAGTTTTTTCTTATTCCAGCCTAAAACACAACCATTCATCTCATATTAAAAAAAACCTAAACATTAAGCTTCAGTATCTTTGGTTTTGGTAGCAACGAGGGCTACAGGCGTGGCAGCTCTAAGAAGAGCCCAGGCATAGGTAAGAGCCAACTCCAGCTGGCTCTGAAAGGGACCCACTGCTGACCAGAGTTAAGCCATGACTGACACAGGGTGTGCCTCTGGGACAGCAGGTTTAAAAAGGGGAAAACTGCTGTGCAGCTGGAAGAGAGGAATAAGAAATGTGAGAGAAACAAACCCTGCAGGCACCAAGGTCAGTGCAGAAAGAGGGGCAGGAGGTGATAAAGGCACACAGCAAAAACTTCTTACAGCTCAGGAGAGACCCATGGTGGAGCAGGCCATTCCCCCTGCTGTCCATGGGTACAGTACATCTCCACCTGCAGCTACAGACTTAGTGCAGCAGCTGATGAGCCCTGGAGGAGGCACAGTCCATGGACAGCCTCCCACGGGAGCAGCCTGGGGCTCGAGCTGTAGCCCCTGGAGAGGAACCCATAGTGGAGCAGGGCTGGGGGAGCTGCCACCTGTGGGGACCTATGTGGAGCACTGTGGTACTGAATGGCAGGCCCTGTGACTGAGAGCCATGTTGGAGCAGCACCTGGACAACTGCAGCCTGAGGGAAGCCCATGCATGATCTGCTTGGGAAGGACAGCATCTCATGTGAGGGACTCATGTAGAATGGAGACAGAGTGACCACGGAGGAGCAACAGAGAAAAAAAACACTATGGACTGACCATAGCCCTCATTCCCCATTCATTTGTGCTGCTTGAGGGGAGGAGTTAGAAGAGGATGGATAGGGAAAGGTGTTTTTAGTTTGCTTTTAGTTTTCACTACTCTAGTCTGTTACTAATTGCCAATAAATTACAGTCTGCTTTTGCACATGACTATAATTGGTGAGTGATCTTCCTGTCCTTATCTCAACCCACAAGCTCCCCACCCTGCAATCATATTTTCATCCCATCCTTCTAAGGAGAGTGAGTGCAAGAGCAGTGTGGTGGTGCTGGGCTGCCCACTGGTTGTTACAGAATCACAGAATCGTAGGGGTTGGAAGGGACCTCCAGAGATCATCGAGTCCAACTCCCCTGCCAAAGGAGGTTCCCTACAGCAGGTCGCACAGGTCGGCATCCAGGCAGGTCTTGAACATCTCCACAGAAGGAGACTCCACCACCTCCCTGGGCAGCCTGTTCCAGTGCTCCGTCACCTCACTGTAAAGAAGTTCTTGCACACATTTGTGCAGAACTTCCTATGCTGCGGTTTCTGGCCGTTTCCCCTTGTCCTGTCTCCACACACTGCTGAAAAAGTCTGGCCTCCCCATTCTGCCCCCCACACCTTAGATATTTATAGACCTGGATCAGGTCCCCTCTCAGTCTTCTTTTCTCAAGGCTGAACAGACCCAGTTCACTCAGCCTTTCCTCATAGGAGAGATGCTCCAGGCCCTTCACCATCTTTGTGGCCCTCCGCTGCACTCTTTCCAAGAGATCCCTGTCTTTTTTGTACTGGGGAGCCCAGAACTGGACGCAGTGCTGCAGATGAGGCCTCACCAGGGCAGAGTGGAGGGGGAGGATCACCTCCCTCGACCTGCTGGACACGCTCTTTTTAATGCACCCCAGGATGCCATTGGCCTTTTTGGCCACAAGGGCACACTGCTGGCTCATGGCCAACCTGTCGTCCACCAGGACACCCAGGTCCCTCTCTGCAGAGCTCCTCTCCAGCAGGCCATCCAACCTGTACCAGTGCATGCAATTATTCCTCCTTAGGTGCAAGACTCTACACTTGCTTTTGTTAAACCTCATCTGGTTTCTTACTGGCCAGCTGTCCAGCCTGTCCAGGTCTCGCTGAATGGCAGCACGGCCTTCAGGCGTGTCAGCCAATCCTCCCAACTTCATATCATCAGCAAACTTGCTGAGGGTGGCCATTATCCCCTCATCAAGGTCACTGATGAAGATGTTGAACAAGACCGGACCCAGCACTGACCCCTGAGGAACACCGCTGGTTACAGGCCTCCAACCGGACTCTGCACCGCCAACAACGACCCTCTGCGCTCTGCCAGTCAGCCAGTTCTCAACCCACCTCACTGTCCACTCATCTATCCCACACTTCCTCAGCTTTGTTATAAGGATGTTGTGGGAGACAGCATCAAATGCCTTGCTGAAATCAAGGTAGACTACATCCACTGCTCTCCCCGCATCCACCCAGCCAATGACAGCCAGTTACACCACCACAGCACCATTAAAAGCATCGACTGCACTTTGAAACAGGTCTTATCCACCTTAAGAGTTGTGTATGTCAGCTTTAAGAAAGACACAGCCCTTGGCAGCATTCTACTGCAGTGTCTTTTATCAACACCTGAGGTGTTAAAAAAGGCAGTTGAGAAACTGAAGAAATCAGTCAGAATATTAGTACATGTTGGCCAGTGTACTGTGTGTTTCCAGCTTAGCTTTCATACAAGAACTAGTAACTAAGCTCTTCTTTCCTCCTTGTTAGTGTCACATAGCTGATAAAGTGAATGGAGTGCACATTTTCAACTACGCACAGCAAAAGATAATTTCCACACTATAGAAACCATGAAGACTAAATTCCTGATGCCAGAAGTACAACCTCAGAAGAGCTGGAGGTTTTGACAGGTGATCTAGAGATGCTTGTTCACTTTGATACAAGAAGTCTGAAAGTTAAAGATTCTGTTTATAGGAATCTTCACTTAGACAAAAGTCTAAAGAATGTAGTCACAGTTTTGAAAACCTGTTGAACCTAGATTAAGGACAGACAGTGGTGGTAAAAGCACCAGGGTAAAACAGTGCCCACCCATGTGACTGTTCTGGTCCTATTGTCACACAAATTGTTTCATCCTAAAAAGAAACCCCTGAACTTTAGTACTATTGTTTAACATATTGCATAGAAATAAAACAGAATATAAATAAACCATGCCCCTAAGCCACTGTAAGTCCTCCTATAAAGATGTTTCATTTTATTTGTGCCAATAAGAATTTGAGGCCAAATCCTTTCTTAATCCAACTGAAATACCACCAAAATAACTGAGGTGAGTTCCTGGTCTAAACTAAATTTCTAGATAGCCTGATCAGAATGACAGCACTGACTGTGGGGTGTTAACTGTAGCTGGCTGCCAGATGCCCCAAAACTGCTTACTCCCTTCTTCCACAACAGAGGAGGAGAAAATCAGATTTAAAAGCTTATGGGTGAAGTTCAAGAGAAAATTGCTTATTTATTACTACCCCACACAAAACAGACTCAACTTTTGGAAGATTAATTTACTGCCAATGAAAATGTGAGTAGTGATGAACAAACAACAAAGCAAGAACACCTTCCCCACATATCCTGTCTTCCCAGGCTCACTGTCTCTCCTTTGTTTCTGATTCATATGCATCTCTCTCCTTCTTCACTGTGTCAGCAGGGTTGCTTTCTCACATATTTTCCCCTTACTCCTTTCATAGCTGCTGTAGTAGTTTCTTTTTACTGTTTACGGAGTGCCTTAATACAGAGGTGCCATCAGTATCACTGGGAACTTACCCCTGTGCTGTGTTGAGTCTGCTGGAGTCAGCTACAACCACGTCCAACATGGGCACAACCCCTGGTGTGCTCACTGAGGCCATCCTAACAGTGCTTCTGCCACCAAAACCTTGCTATATAACTCAAGTCACTGCTGAGTCCCAGCTACCAGCTGCTTACAGCTTAGTGGAAAGACAATTTACCACCCCAACCTGACTTTAGATAAAGCTGCTTGTGAGCAGTAGAGATTTTGAGATGTACTTGCTTAAGTAAGCAAGAGAAACAACTAGATGTGCCTGTCATTAACAAAGGTTAAGTTTGCCCTTATGTTCTAAGGAAGGCAGAGTTGGTGTATTCCCTTTGCATTCCACATGAACCAATCATGCCAAACATTCTTCTCATGCTCAGTCTGGGTCATATAAAAACATTCCCTTGAATGGGTTCACAACATTTCTTTGAAAGGGTAGATAACTGCAGGACAATGGGAAATGGTTTTAAGTTGAGGGAGGGGAGACTTGGGTTGGATGTCAGGGGTAAATTCTTTACAGAGAGAGTGGTGAGGTGCTGGAACAGGCTGCCGAGAGAGGTTGGATGCCCTGTGCCTAGAGGTGTTCAAGGCCAGACTGGATGGAGCCCTGGGCAGCCTGGTCTAGTATTAAACGTGGAGGTAGGTGGCCCTGCATGTGGCAGGGGGGTTAGAGATTCATGATCCTTGAGGTCCCTTCCAACCCTGGCCATTCTGTGATTCTGTAATTCTAATACAAATTGAGAGCAGCTAACCTCAGAACATCTCCAAATAACTGGAGAAGAAATTTTTATATATTTTAGTCATGATGTAATCATTAATAAGCTCTATGTTCATCATTCTGAAATCACTGACTTTCCGGATGAGTTTAAAAAGTTTACAAACTGGAGCTTGGATGATACGCACTGGTTATCCACAATATACAAACAGTGCTGACCTCTTAGGGAAGATGAGAAAATTTGATAAAACAACAGGCCATTCTGCACTTTTCTTAGTGTTTGTGAAACTATTAATTAATGTAAATATGACAGCCCACTGACTGCAAGCCTAGTTAAACATTGATCTAAGTTAGTTCATCTCTTCACTGGAAAACTAAGGTTATTTCCTGAGGGCATCTTGCATGACATGAATGGTTCCAACAAAAGCTAAAAGAGAATTGACTACAAAAGTCAGTTGTTGAGCAGGACCTTTCTTCCAATCAGAGGTTCAGTACCATTGTTAACTCACCCTCAAATTTGAATTCTGGAAACTTGGTTAGATCTCCCTCTCCATACATCCTCTGAAGCCTGGCAAGTGATTCATTCATGTCTTTCTGAAACTCGGGGCCTACATCAACAGGCCCTCCAGCTTGCCTAAAATACAAACAAACAAAGAAGTTCCAATTAATAGTTCAGTTCTGAAAGTTTATATGGAAGTTCTACATTTTCATAGCGATTTATGGATTATCATTTTGACAATCAACTAAAGCAAAAAATTCCAGACATTTTCAGAAGTGACACACCTTAAGGCCCACTTACCTTACAACTAAAGGTTCTCAGAATGGGTTCTAAAGGGCTTTTTGCTGTGAATAATGAAATTCCAAGCTACAGAGGCAGCCTTTGGAGACACAAAACCATGCTGAGTATCTAGATTTGCAGAACTCTGGAGTTTCACTTGTTCCAGGTGTGACTTCTTGACAAAACTGTGATTTGTACCTCTGTTATTTCTGAATTAATGATCATGATTTGAGTATTAAATAAGAAAAAAAAAAAAAAAAGAATAACAAACAGAGGATACTTAATTCAACTGGACTCACACAAGGATTCCTTGGGATACATGTATAAAATAGTTACAGCAGTAACTCTGTAGACTAGTCACCATCTATTGTGTGCTAAGTGCCTTTTAACTCCTTACGAAAAAAGACATCAGGGTCTTTTTTATTTGCTTTTTTTTGCACATCTTCTTCCAGGTTCATAAGGCCACGCCTTTAACTTGTGGCACTATCAGCAGGTGCTGCAGGAAAGCAAAAGTTCTCTTTCAGAACAGTTTCAGGACAGAATTAAACCCAATTTTGTTTTGAGCAAGCAAGCAAACTTGTTTTAGAGCAAACAAAGAGCAGCATTTTTAACCCCTGTGCCATCTGCTGTAAGGCAACTCATCGTACTTACTTGCTTTTTGTGTTGTACTCCCTGATCTTGTCCAGGAAGAGCTTCTGAACCGGATCGAGCTCTTTTGCCTTATTAAAGGCAATGGCAGAAAAACCGATGTTTCTCCGCAGGTGAACGGAGACAGCGGAGCGAAAAAGGGAAGAAAGTCGCAGGATCTGATGCAGGATCATGACGGCGCCGACGTTTTACTTTAAAACAATCAAACAAGCGAATAGAACGCACCGATAACGACGCCCTTCCCTAACATAAGCCGCCTCTCACCCAAAACCGACAGCCCCGACCCACCTCTGCGGAACCTCAGTCACCTTGGGGCCGGGACGCAGCGCGCATGCGCCCAGACCCGCCCTCCCGCGCAAGGCATGCTGGGGCTCCGCGCGGCCTACCGCTGCCTTACCTCGACCCCCACGGCCGCGCGCAGGTCTCGTGAGGGACGGCGTCCGCCGTACAGCCCCGACCAACCGTCCGCCGGACTGACAAAGAGTAACGGACGAACGGCCGCCGGCCCGTCACCGCCGGAAGTAGGAGCTGCGCTTCCGGGTGAGAGGAAACGGCTCGGGGTGGCCGTTCCCCCCCCCCACCGTCCCGCTCTCAGATAGGCGCGCGCGAGGGCCGCCGGGAGGTGTAGTTCCCGCGGCTGCGCGGGGGGTGGCGGTGTCGGCGCGCCCTCCCCACCCGGGCCCGCGCTGGGCCGCACCGCCCAATCCCGAGCGCGCGACGGACTCCGCGGGGCGGCGGTGGCGGCGGGAGTCGGCGGCGCTGCGAGGGCGGCGGGAGGAGGCGTGGGCCGCTGTGCTCGGGGCCGGCGCGTAAGGCTGCGGAGGTGGGTGAACGCGACGCGGCCTGGCGGCCCGGCCCGGCCCGTGTTTTGTTTCCGTTTCTCCCCGGCGCCTCGCGTCTCATTTCCGTTTCGGGTTCAAACAACGCCGCGGGGAGGAGGGGGGAAGCAGGAGGTCTGCAGGGAGAGAAACGGGGACGGCAGGAAGAAGCGGCACATGGCGGCCCTGGCTGCTCCCCGGGCGGGGCAGGGTCCGGCCGTGGCTGGGGGAAAGGCTGGGCGCGTAACGGCGGGCCCCCATCTGGCCGAGCAGCATCGCTGGAGCTTGCTTGAGCCTTAAAAACGGCTTTTGGCCGGCAGTGTGCGGGGGTACTCGGCGTCCCATCTATAGCCTTAGTGTTGTTCCAGGCACGTGCTGCACGGCTACTTTTCCATGGCTGGGTTTGTTTTCGAACTTCTGACCCTTAGTTAGGAAGGAAAACGTCTGAAAACAGGCGTGACTTTGGCCTATCTAGCATCTCTGTCTTGAATGCAAACTGGCTGGTAACTTGCATAAGGCCCTATGTGAAGGCCCCGCTGAGTGTGTGTGGCATTACCAATGAAAGTACTGGTAGGGGTGGCTGTACAAGTGCCCTGTGAAACAGCTGAACCATGGGACCCTCCAGAGAGCAGGAGCATAACATCACCCAAGGTTGGAAAAGCCCTCCAAGATCATCCAGTCTAACCAACCCCCACCATCAAAGCTTTCCCATTAAGCCATGTCCCTTAGTACAACATCTAAATGTCTCTTGTGCAACCTCTTCTTTAGGTTTCTCTCAGTTTGTTATCCCAGGAGGCTGCCTCTGTTGAATTCCTAGCTGCTTCATGGGATTGATTACGTGTATTTTATTTGTATTTCATCTGTATTGTATCTGTACTACTGTATGGTCACCACATTTACAGCATCGCATGCGATTCTTCTGCAAATCTGGCAGATTGAGAAATATAATTAAAATACTTTCATTGAGTTTTTTTTCACTAATGTTTGGTGAGCTCCTTGAACTGCTCCTGCTTCGCACAAATGATAATGATGAGCACAAATTCTGTTTTGTTCTTCTTGTTGCTCAACATTATTTCACTGGTGATAGACAGCTGACATCCCAGATGTCTAACCAGGCTTCTTTCTTCCAGAGAATCTGTGTCTGATTCCTGACATGACAGTCCCCAATCTCTGTAGTTAATAGCCCCAGTGAGCTGCTCTGCGTGAATTTGTTTTGTCTCATCTGAACATATGTGCACTTCCAGTCTTGGAGCAATCCTGTAGCAGCAAATTTCATTGGACGTTGTCTGAAACCTTTGTTTTGTTTGAAGCATGCTGCTGCTTAATATTATCAGGAGTCTCTATTTTAGTGTAACAACACATGACTAATTTTCTCCATTAGTCTTCCTCAAAGCGTTACTGACTTCACGCATTTTGGTCATGTTATTCTTCCTCTTCCCACTCTGCTCACCTCTTTTTCTTGTGTTTTGTGCTTGGTGGAAACCATCTTTATTCCCCTTTCTGTGCCTGCACTTTGCCCTCCTCTGCCTCCCCAGGGTATTTAAAAGTGTAATGTAGTCAATGAGATGCAGCTGTGTAATGGTAAGAAGGCAAAGCACTTAGGAGAGGGAATGAACAGTGCCAGTCCAGCTGCCAATTTGGACTCCAGCCCACAGAAACACCAAAATATATTGCCTTATTCTATGCAATTTCTGGAACTATTCTAGTTCCAGTTACTGTGTTACTGTAATGTTTACGCACTGTGTGTCGTTTTGCGTTTACCAATATTGAGTATTTTCTTTCATAAATCATTTATTTACTCAATCCTTAATTTCTAGAAGTCCTAATAGTCAACCAGATCACTTGTAGCAGTGCAGACATCAATTCTTCCAGAGACTTGTCTCTTCAGAAGTGTTCCCCATGTAGTGTGAAGACGATATGTGAGATTAGTTGGACTCCTTGGACTGGCAGTTCAGCATAGCCATCCCCTGCAGCTAGGAGAGTTTCATGGGGCTAGGTCTGATGAGAATGGAGCAGGTTCTGGTGGTGAGATATTAATGAGGTGCTGTTTAATTCCTATCCAACCCTGGTGGCTTCTCACTGATTGACATCAGATACAGTGCATGATTTCTTCTGGTAGCACAACTAATTTCACATAAGTTTTTGAAGGATGTGGTGTGATGAACAGCATACATTTCTTTAAACAATTTCTCTAAAAGCTGTATGACTTGTTTATTATTCATTTTGATAAAATGAAAACTCCTTACTAGTAGTTGGTATGGGTTTAGTTTAGAACCTGAGAAAGAATGAATCTAGGATGGAAACCTTTCTAGCCTCTTCTCTCATGCAGAGGAAGGTAAATGCATAGCTAAATCTAGATGGCAAAATATGCATTAATTTTCCTAGAACTGTAGGAAGTTGTTTGAAATCAGCCATGAGAAGTTTTAGTTAGTCTATTCCAAAAGCAGTCAGTAAGTGGAGATGTATGCAAGAAAACAAGACTTTGGCCTCAGTGTTTGTTTCTGTTTGGAGTTCCGAATTTGCCCTGCATAACACTTCTTTGTCAACAGGTATTGTCATCTATTTTGTGAAATCGACGTTAGGTTTTGGTTTTCCCTTTTTCTTTAAACAACTATCTAGGTATTTGGTTTAAAAAAAGTTTGATAGGATGCAAACAATCAGCCTGTTTTGTTCATCTGTGACTTACAAAAAGAATTCGTCTTTGTTCCTAGCTCTGTTCTTAAGACATTTCAGCCATGACTAAGAGAGAAGCAGAGGAGTTGATAGAAATAGAAATTGATGGAAATGAGAAACAGGAATGTACTGAAGAAAGGTATGTACTGTCTTTGCTTTTGAGAATCATTAGACTCTGATTTATTTATGTTTTGTTTGTTTTACTGATTTCAGAGCTGTGACTGCACACACTAAGTTCAGTTACCCATGTTTATTATTAGTTATTGTGTAATGCTTCAGAGATGACTATGATTATGAAATAAATGCAAGTGTTTTCTAGCTAGGTGAAAGTAGTAATTTTAAAGTGGTAAAAGTAACTGGATCGCTGTCATCTCTGTGCTCCCGTGCTTGCTTGCTTGATTCTACAGATTTCTTGGCTTTTCTTATGGTTATAAAAGTCCTCATTTTGCCCGTGCTCTCTTCAGTTTTTCTGTTCATCTAATTAAGTGTTGGGTTTTTTTTTTTTTTTTTTTTTTTTTGTTTTAATGGAACTGTAGCTGCTATTGGAAACCGGTGTAGTGCTGTCATAGAATATCCCAATTTGGAAGGAACCTACAAAGAGCACTGAGTCCAACTCTGGGCTCCGCACAGAACCGTGTGAAATTCAAACAGTGTGGCTGAGAGCACTGTAGGTTCGGGGCCGTGCCCACAGCCCCGTGCATCCCTTTCCTCACCCACCGCCCTGTGGTGCAGCCCCTTTCCCTGACCCCCAGCTGCCCTCCCCTGACGCAGCGCCATGCCGTTCCCTCGGGCCCTGTCGCTGTCACACAGAGCAGAGCTCAGCGCTGCCCCTCCGCTCCCTGTGAGGAGCTGCAGCCGCCATCAGGGCTCCCCTCAGCTCCTCTGCTCTGCGCTGAGCACAGCGAGGGGCCTCAGCTGCTCTTTCACTCCTGTCCCTTTACCATCTTCATTGCCCTCTTCTGGGCGCTCTGATAGTTTTATGCCCTCCTTACATTGTGACACCTAAAGTTGCCCACAGTGCTCAAGGAGAGGCTGCAAAGCACAGAGCAGAGCAGGACAGCTCCTTCCTGTGCCTGGCTGGCAGTGCTGGGCCTAGTGCACCCCAGGATATGGTTGGACCTTTGAGTTGCCAGGGCACACTGCTGACTCAAATTCAACTTGACTCCAACACAACCCTCAGGCTCCTTTTCATAGGGCTGCTTTCCAGTGTTCAGTTGTGGTTAAATCTCCCCACGTTTTATTTTTTTTATTTCTGCAGTACTTACAGTAACTTTTTCTTTACTTTTCAGTCTGTAGGAATATTTCTATGTATACTTGTTGCAGATGTTTCAGATTCAGCATGTTCTTCTTTAACTGAAACGAGCCTTTAGTTTCTCCAGTCTATTGCATTCCGTGTTATCCAGGGCCAATTTTTAAAAAATCAGAGATTAAAATCTGTATATTGTGATTGCATTATTGATGAGGCCAATAAAACTGTAGATGCAGAAGTCCACTTTGCCTTAGTTATCTCAACCTAGTTTTTAGTTCCTAAAGCTTCTTTTCTAATATTCACGGCTGTTTTTGAAAATATCAAAGCATGGGAAAAAATAGCCTAGGCTAGTAGGTGACCTGGTCTTTTAAGAACTTGTTTGAAGAACTGTTTGAAAACCAATTATTAATTTCTCCTTATTCCGAGCTCCTCATATAATTTTTAATACTTTTGAACTGCATCCTTTTACTTTCTGATTTCCTCTGTTCAAACGGATATTTCTGAATGCCCATGCTAATAATGCAGTAGGACAACCCAGATACGTGACTGTCTTTCGAGGTTATGCATTGCTGCAGTTCTTTCTGGTTGTCTCTTTTATGTGTTAGGTTTATCATTATGCTGGTTAGTTCCAGGACATGGACGTTTAATCTGTAGAAGTGGGGTTTTTTTTTTTCCTTCTTTGTACCTCATGTGTTAAGTTTTCATATTTGACTTTTAACGTGAATCTTTTAAACACGCTGCATGCAAGGCAGACAGAATTAG